AGGACCCTGAACCACCAACCAAACTAATCGAGGCAGTTTTGGTTGTAAGGGATTCTAGAATCAAAACTAGTCATCACTCTGAAAAGTACAGAGAGAGAAAAAAAATGAGCAAAATTCGGGGAAAAAAGCCCTACTAAACACAGCTCGGCCCAGGGTTCCTACACTCAGGATGGTGCCCAAACCTCGAGAGCTTCAAATCGGAGGGTTTGGTGAAGCACAGCCCCACTTTGTCACCCTGCGACTCACAGGCCAGTGTTGGACATCATCTTGAACTACCCTGGTGACCTCAGAAGTGGGAACAACCCACAAGAAGGCGACCGTGAATTTAATCTGCCCCAGACCAAAGGAAAGAGGCAGCCCCAGGAGGCAGTAACGCCAGGCCAGAGGACTGAGCCTGACCACAAGCCACCAGGGGCTCAGCAAACTCATAGAGGAGGGAGGAAACCCTCTCCGTCACCGTCACTCCCACCGTGACCAAATCTGGTGGACGGAGTTTGAAAGCCTTGGGGTCTCAAGGCAGCTCAGGGCCAGCTACAGAGCTCAACACCAGCAGAAACTGGGGGGTAGAGGGACAGAGGACCCTCAAGTGTAACCGACCCAGAAAGACACTCATGGGTCTAGCATTTCACTTTTCTTTCCAGAAATGCTTTTTGACTCAGCAGGCAGAGGCAGGAGGATCTCTGTGAGTTCCAGGCCAGCCTGATCTGCATAGCGAGTTCCAAAACTGCCAAGGCAACACAGTAAGACCTTATCTCAAAAAAAGAAAGAGCTGGGCACTGGTGGCACACGCCTTTAATCCCAGCACTCCGGAGGCAGAGGCAGGCGGATCTCTGTGAATTCGAGGCCAGGCTGGACCGACAGCCTCCAAAACAATACAGAGAAACCCTGTCTCGTAAAAACAAAAACAAAAAAAGAAAGAAAGGAGCCGGGCAGTGGTGGTGAATGCCTTTAATCCCAGAACTCGGGAAGCAGAGGCAGGTGGATCTCTGAGTTCCAGGCCAGCCTGGTCTACAGAGAGAGTTCCAGGACAGTCTCCAAAGCAATACAGAGGAACCCTGTCTTGAAAAAAAATCTTCGTTCGCTGTCGCTGCAGAAGGGCGGTGAGAACTAACATGGGAGGATGAAGAAAGCATGAGATGTCCTGGCTCTGCAAAAACGGGGAGAGGAAGGGAGGGGGAGGGAGGGAGCGGGAGGGGACAAGAGGGGAGACTAGACCATTTGATTTTAGTTTAGTTTGGAATTAAACTCCTCCGTTAGGTTCCAAAGGACAAAGCTAAAGACTCAAAAATTGGAATCACTCATACTGACATTGTGAGAAATCAAGATTGAAGGCTGAGGGGTAGGAGAGCACTTGCTCTGGCCGAGGATCCAGGCTCGGTTCTCAGCATCCACTTGGTGGCACATAGCTGTCTCTAACTCCAGTTCCAGGGGATCCAACACTACCTCCTGGCCTCCTGGGGCTCATGTGTGCACTGGTGCACAGACATATATCCACCCAAAATACTCATACAATGAAATTAAGCAAATAAAAAATATTAAAGGCTGATATGTCCCGATAGACCTGTCTTCAATTTCCGTGATGGTGAAGTTCCCTCTGGTAACTTAGTCTAGTTGCCTTTTCATTTTGCTGACAAACACATACAACTTAGGGAGGAGAAGGTTTCTTTTATCTTACACTTCCAGGTCATAGTTCATCACTGTGGAAAGCTATGGCAGAGAATTAAAACAGGACCTGAAGGCAGGAACCATGGAGGAAGCTGCTTGCTGAGTCACACTATTCCAAATGACCCTTGGCCATCATGGAGTTGATTAATCAACTTACAAGAAATGGTTGGCTGGCGTTAAACCTGTAATCCTCCTGCCTCAGCCTCCCATGTATACCACCACACCTGCTAAAAGCAGGAAAATTTCTGATCTCAAATGCTGAGCGTTTGTTTGTTTTGCTCCTGATTTTCTTGCCTGTGCCTGGTACATTCCATTGGCTGCTCCACTCTGAGCCTGGGCACCTCAGCCACACAAACTCCCTGCTTCCGTGGACCCATAAGGAAAGCAAGGCACGGATTTGTTCTCACTCAGCTGCCATAATCAACTCCCATGCCCTGCGGTCTGCCCCAGGCCCTGTTCGTCTGGGTGGGGGTGCACGCATCTCCTAAAGATCCCTGATATCTTTGTCTCTATCGACACGTCTTCCATCTACACGACACACGATTCCCTGTGCCGCATTTCAGACAGAAGGCAAGAGAGCGCCCAGGCGGACCAAGCGTGTTCTTGACCACGCTTTTCATCTGCTTGGGCTTTTGTTTCATTGTTCTGTTGCCTGAGTCTTCTCTTGAGACATTTGTGGCCCGCTTCCTGCGTGGATAAAGCATTCGAGGTGGGGGGGGGGCATCTGTGAATACATCAAACTCTGTTTCAGCTGTGGGGCAGTGACTGAAGTGGGAGAGTCTACTGCGCGTGACATTTCCCATTGTCTCCCTCACATTCCCTGGTTCCTAAGCGGCAGTGAAATCTGCAGGTGAGGCAGCGTTTGCCAGAGGGCCAAGCACCGTTCAAACCTGGCACCAGACGGCCAGCGCTGAAAGCACGCGGAGGAGGGGGAGGAGGAGTTTCTGCCTTCACCCAAGGCTATATTGCCACACCATCTGGAGCCAGGAGGGAGAGAATGGGGCTGAATAAATAAATATAAGGTGTAAGTGTACAGAGCGGAAATGCATGAAATTGGCAGGGACTCATTCATCATCTCGTAAATCTGTCTTTACAAAGTGAAATAAAAATCAAGCCAGTTTGAACAATATGGAGGGTGTGAAGCTCTTCCAAGAATAGCTAATGAAAGGGAGGGGGAGGGGAGGCGGAACCCTACAGGAAATGTGCAAATGTACAAAATTGGCAGATTCCGTTGACACTTCAGGGTGATTAGCATGCTGATTGGTGTGCCTTGGAAAGTACTAAAGAGGAATCATATTGTTTTATGGGGAAAAAATAATGAAACCGAATTAAGAGCCCAGCACTTCCTAACGAGGGGCTCCAGTGTGTAGTCAGCTGCGCCTGGGTGAATGGGGAGAAGTGTGTGAATGCCATCTACACCACGGAGCCTCCCTAGAAGCAAGCTGACACCCGATGTTTATTTTATTTACTCATCCATTCACGCGTTCAACAAAAGCTGATGCATCGACCTTTTGCCTAGCAGGGTTCGGGATGCTCAGGACACAAAAAGACTCAGGTGCCTCCTCTGACCTTGATCAGTATGATTTCATAGAGATCCTCCGTTGCATCCCACAAAATAACCGACGCCCTGAGAGTGTCCCAGCCAAGCGATGCGGACGCCCAGCAGCAGGGAGAGTTCGCACGACGACAGTGAATATATTAGGGGCGATGGGCGGGGCCATGGAGAGGATTCACGGAGGACAACATTGAAAGGAGCAGACTTTGATGCGTGCATAGAACGTTTGCATAGGGAGACGAGGGCTAAGGGCATTTGAGGCATGAGTAGCAGAATACGCAAAGGTACAAACTCAGAAGTACTTCGCATTTCCTGGGCGTGTCGAGGTGCCTGTTGAGTATTCCAGTGTGGGACACTGGTGGGCTGCCAACTGTTTCAGCCTTCGGGATATCTGGGTTTCTTTGGAGATAACAGTGACTACTATCATTACACATTTGTGGGAACTCCAGAGGCAACTGGCCCAGGACTCTATACACACTGACTGCCTCTATACAACAGGTGTTGATTAGGAGGAAATAGAGATGACCCAATTCACACGTGAGAAGCGAGGCCGGGGCAGGAAAAACCTTGTGTAACCTCCTGCTTTAGGGCGGAGGCATCGAGAGCTTCCGGGACAGTAGGACCAGAGAAAGAAGTTCATGGGAGCCATCTCAGGGTGCGCACCCCCCCCCCCAGGAACTGCCCTTTTCCTGTTATTGCCACAGGGGGAATCTGAGCCCCTCATGTCCCAGCATCCCATTCTCCGGGAACTTTGCTGGCACCTCCAGGATGTTTCAAGGGAAGCCCACCAGAAACCACTACACAGACACTCAGAGAGTCAAAACAAAGTCTTTATTGCTGGGCAGCAGCTGGGTGGGGAACCTGCCCAAATCACACACACAGTCCCAAGTCTCACAGCCCTTTGGTTTTTGTGCACAAAAACTACATCCTGGTTGTCACACTTCAGTTAGCCAGAGCAGAACCACAGAAGCCAGGAGGCAAGGTCAGCACATTTATGGGCTTTCCTGCAACTGTGGTCCAGGTCTTTATGAACTAGGTTTTCGTTCCCATTTTGGCAGGTGCTGGGACCTGCATGCTGGGCCCTAAGGTCAAAATTGTGCCTCCAACATGGAGTCACTTGTGCTAAGGCCTGGGGGTGGGGCTGTTACACTTGCTTTTCTGAGACTGAATCATTATTCAGCCATACAGCCACTTGCTTCAGACTTTTTCATTTTAATTTTCGTTCTTTTTTTTTCTGAGATAGGGTTTCTCTGTGTGGCCCTAGCTGTTCTGGAACTCTCTCTGTAGGCCAGGCTGGCCTCAAACTTAAGAGATCTGTCTGCCTCTGTCTTCCGAGTGTTGGGATTAAGGGTGTGCCGCCACCCAGCTTAATTTTTATTCTTTAATTATCTTATAACTGGCATGTTTCCACGTGCCTGAGACATCTGAAATCATGAACCAAGACAAATGTTTCCACCGTTAGGTTGCTTTTCTGTGTTATCTGTCATAGCCACTCAAAAGTCTCACTAGTACACGTGAGAAAGCAATTCAGCCATGCTGTGGATTCTAAGAGTACATGCCTGCACTCAACCATCAAAACTCCCTGGTGATCATACTCCCTGATATAAAACAGCAGAGTGTTTGCATATAACCAACATACATCTTCCTGTGCATCTTTAATCATATCGAAGGGACCTGGGACACCTAATAAAATGTAAGTTGCTGTTATACTGCACTGTTGGGGGGGTCTGTATATGTCCTATAGAGGAGAGAGAGAGAGACAGAGACAGAGACAGAGACAGACAGAGAGAGAGTTTTAATGTTTTCTCCTCATTGAAGGTTGAATCTGCGACTGTAAATCTAGAGGGCTGACTGGAATCATATTTTGTATCATCCAGGTGGACACCATTGGTGGTGAGCTGCAAGATAAAACATTGGCCAATGGTAAGGGAAGGGAGGACAAAAGGACAGGTTCCAGGACGAAGGCAGGACCCTGGAGAACCTCCCAGAGAGAAACAGAGACTGCCTGGGACCTCAGTCTCCCCTGTGAAAAGGACATGGCAGCATTTCTGCTTTGCAGGGTCAGGAGAAATGACATAAGGGAATGCACATCATGACAGTGGCTTCCAGGAGGGAGAAAACCCCATACAGAGCTGAACCCAGGGTGAGGTGGTCTCTCTGGGGATGGGTAGTGGATGGTGGGAGTGCAGGTGAAGAGCGGACCACTGGGGAGGGAGCTCAGCCTACGCTGACTGCCTAGTGGTATTGTCACCAGTGCATACCTATCTCAGGTACCATAGGCAGGCAGGAGGGAGCCTCCAGGCTCTGGGAACCTACACAGGCTTAGCCAGCAAGGAACAAGCTGGAAACAGACGTGGTGCAGAGGTGACGCGGTTCCGGTCATGGGGTGAGAGGAGATGATGGGGGGCTGAGGACAGGAGTCCGTAGTCAGATCTATCTCGTCCTGTGTGGTCAGCAATGGATCAGTCGCGGCACTGGCCTTTGTCCAGGTGTAGGAAGTCCAGATGCCTCTGAGATTCTCCAGGTTCCCTCTGTACTGTCACGAGCATTCTCGGTTCTACACTGGAAAACGCCATCAGAGCGGAGCGGGAGGCCCAGAATGAGGCAGGTGGGGCTGAGGCCGAGACACCCCGCAGTAGCTAAGGGTGTCGGGCTCTGTGTGTAGTAGGAAGAAAGAGGGGCGGCCAGAAAATTCCTTGAGCTAGAAAATCAATACCTTCACTTTGCAAGAGGAGGAAAACGGCCGAAGGAGAGGAGAGCTAAGGCACCAGCGACACACGCGTGCGGACGCGGATCCACCGCACCCAAGGCAAGCGTGCACGCGAGCTGCCCCCTGGTGGCGAGGTGGCTCTGCGCATACAACGCTCAGCTCCTTTGTTCTGCGGCTGCTGTTGTGCTGATAGCAGGAGGCCTGGCGAGCAAAACCGGCTGGCAGCTGTGCCGGCGCGTGTGCTTGAGCCCTTGAACCCGAGTTCCAACCCCCCTCTTTGTTAGTTGGCTAAAAGCCTTGACCTGCTCACGAATTGGCTCAGAGCCTTGGTTTCAACGAAAATAAAATGGGCATGTAGAGCACAGCTTATGAAGTAGGTAGGGAAATTGTTACAAAAAGCTGGTAGCAGCCATCGCGCCGCTTTCTCCGCCCTACCCTTGTGAGCACTGTGAGGAAACCCATTTGCAGGGCCATTTGTGAGCCTGAGTGTAGCGTTTTAGAGGGTATCTGGGGATGGGAGGCACAGGATTCCCCCAACCCACCCGCTGTCAGTTCATTCTCATAACTGGCTCCTCTGCCTCCTTCCCTCTTGCCTTGGAAGTCAGCTTAGCGAACGAAGAACAGCGTTTGTCCATTGAGAGTGCTCCTGACACCTCCAAACACTGTTTCAAAGCAATGCCACTCTCTTGAGAGGATCTAAAAAAGAGTGACTTGGCCCGCATCTTGGGGAGGTGTGTGGAGGTGGGCTTGCCTTCATCTCTATCTAGAGACAGATCTGCCACTTACCCACTCTGAAACCATTATTTTCTTCCTGAATTCAATCATTATAGGTTCTATTCTGACATGGGAGAGTGGGAAGATGAAAGAGAAAAAAGAAAAGAAAGATAAAACAGGAAACAAAAGGGGAAGAGGAGAAAAGACAAAAGATACTAGCTCCCCAGGGTTACCAGAGCAAAACGGTACAGGCCTAACGCCCTGGGGGGAAGCATGTTCTGACCACTGAGCTGAAAGTCCGGCATCGGTGCCGGCAGACTGGGTCCCTCTGAAGCCTCGCTCCTCGGTTTGCCACTAGCATCGTCTCCCTGCATCCCGACACCGGGTACCAATCTCCTGTCCTCATGAGCATGCCAGTCATGTTCAATGGAGCCTCAATCAACTCTTTTTAATTTAGCTGCCTGCTTGAAGGACTAGTCTCTAAATGCAGGCACATTTTTAGATGCCCAAATAAGAACTTCAGCACAGTGCATTTTGTTGGGGGAGGAGCTACAACAGGATGGGAAGTGGGTTAGGGGTGAAGAGAAGAGCCAGCATCTGTATTGTGTAGTATTGTCTCCTGCCGGTCCTGTATGCTGAGGCCCAGGCGCCAGCAGTCTCTACTTCAACGTCTGGAAATTCCTAAAGAGTATTTGGATCTCATTCCGTCTTGAAAAGGATGCCCTGGGCCCATTCATGCTCCGACCCACGCGAAGTCACGTTCCACGGCGCCGGAAGTCACTTTCCACGGCGCCGGAAGTCACTTTCCACGGCGTCGGAAGTCACTTTCCACGGCATATTGGCACTGCTGTCATCACACTGCCCTCTTTCTACCCTCTCTGGTGTTGGTGACCTACCTGAGACCTCCAGGTGACCGAGCTGGAGATCTCTGATTGTAGAAAATCATGTGTACCTCCCCCCCCCCAGAAGACCTGTCTGCAGGAGAGAAAGCCAGGGTTTAGGTAGCCCTGGGTATGAATCCAAGGTCTGCCATCTAAAAGTGGTATGTGATTTTGGACCTGAAGCTGTCTCTTCCTTTGTGAAATTGCCATTGCAATGCCTACTCCTTAAGACTAGGTTAAGAAGGGCTGGAGAGATGGCTCAGTGGTTAAGAGCACAGACTATTTTTCTAGAGGACCAGGGTTCAATTCCCAGCACCCACATGGCAGCTCACAAGTGTCTGTAATTCTAGTTCCAGGAATCTGACACCTTCACACCAACGCACACAAAATTATAAACAAGTTATTTTTTAAAAGACTAGGTTAAGATTAAATTTAGGGAAGTGGGGCTGAAGAAACAGAGCAGTAATTAAAAGCACATACTGCACTTTCACAGAGGACCCAAGGGCAGTGTCCAGCCCTCAATAGCCTTGAACACCACTCCTGGGTGGTCTGATGCCCTCTTGTGGCCTCTTCAGGAACCCGCACTCATGTGCACATTCATAGAGATACACACACACATACACCGCATTAAAAATAAATCTCTTTAAATTGAAAAAATAAATATAAATAAAGTGAAATTACTTTTGACCTAAGAGCCTGACCCAGGAAGGCCCTAATAAGTATCAGTCTGTGTGCTGACTCCAGCCTCTGGGGTGGCAATGGAGTTTGGAACTGATTTGAGCTCCAGTCATAGCTCTCTTCACCACCCCCATGTTCACCAAGGAAACCAAATGCAGGTAGCCTTTTTAGAATCACACTGGCTGTGGGTGGCAGTGAGCAGTAGCGATTGGGTGACAGTGGGTGGGTTTGGGGCTTAAGGTCAATAATCTGAGTGTCACCAGGTTCCAGTTGCAGTTAGCCCCACACTTACAGACAAGAGGACAGGCAAAAATTCTCACACAGATTGGAGACTGAAATCTGAGAGCTGAACCCAGGAATGTCTGCTTCTGAGGGAAGAACAAGACTTCTCTGAGAACCGTTTATAGACGATCACTCGGGCTTTGCCACGTCAAAGTTCACTGACCCAACTCCAACCACCAGGGTTTTGGAAATGGGTGGAAGAGCAAGAAGTCTAGGCGGAACACACATATACACACATACACACACACACAGAGACACACACAGATACACACGCACAGACATACACGCACACATACACACAGAGATATACACACAGACACAGATACACAGCGACAGACACACACACACACACACACACACACACACACATACACACGGCAACAAGACCTTTGGAAGAATTGGTCCTAGAGAAAAAACTTTGACCCAAATGCTTTGGTCCTGAGCTAGGCCTTCACAACATGTATCATGTGGTAGCGCAGGGCACCAGTGACGGGGCCTGGAGGAAACAGAAACAAGTTCCTGCCTCTGGATGGCGCTCTCCCCTTGCAAGGTAGGGAGAGATACAGCAGACACACAAGGTCTGGTCTGTCTCGCAGCAGTGACTGCTGAAAACAGCGTGTCAGAAGACAGAGAGCCGGCGGGGCCTGGCAGGGACAGTGTGGGCGTCTGTCTGTGTCCGGGGCAAAAGCTCAGCTCTGTCACCTTAGTCTCAGCAGAGACTGAGAAGAGCTCGTGAGCCGGTCTCTGTGGGGTTACTGGGCAAAGTGGCAGGGACGTGACTAGATGAGCAGGGATGACCATGGCGGGCAGATGGCGCGCCTCTGCCGTGCTGAGTAAGGGCTTTGTAAGGCAGAGGCCACTGGAGAGGACCAAGGACAGAGGAGCCTGACTGCTGCTTTGGGAGGATAAAATCATCAGCTTTGTGGTTATTGCAGCCAGGAGGCCCCAAGATGCCGGTCTGCGCATAGATATAATGTGGCTTCCTGGAGAAGTCACGGTGTGAGGTGCTCCCGCTTTAGGGAGGGAAGCCACTGTCTCCGCTGCTGACTGACAAGGGAGGAGAGGGAAACAAGGATGAGGCAAGGCTGGTCCTGAACCCTGGGGGCGTCGGCGCTGTGGGTCTGGTTCAGCCATGAGAAAGCACTGCACATACTGATCACAGTGTTTAGAGAAATCATATTGGCACTGGATTCCAGTTCTGACCCAGTTGCCAGCCTTTATATCTCCACACAGTGCTAGGCAGGCTGCCAGGAGAGAAAAGACATCAACAGCCTTACTCAGCTGTGAGCCCAGTGCACTACAATAAGGACTTGCTTGGCAAAATACATCCATCGGTGTCCTAAAGGTAACCAAGTTCTCTCAGCAGTGAAGAACTGATCCCCGGTATTGTGTAGCTGCCGAGAACCTACCACAGTTATCTTGCTGGCTGATACAGTTCTATCTTCTAAATCCTAATCCTTTCACTCATAGATTGATCCAGCTCACAAGCGCCATCAGAAAAGCTTCCATTTGCAGTAGGTGGAGGATAACACAGAGAACCACAAATGATCAAAGTATACAGAATAAGTGACTGTAGAGTGCTTGTCCCCAGATGGCACCTCTATGTCATACCCCTTACCCCTAAGGCTCAGGCACCAGCATGGGAGAGGGCGTGGAAATATTCTAAGAGCCAGAGGCTGGGGAGAATAGTTACAAAACAATTTCTTCTGGACTTGGCAGGCAATCGAACTCACAAACTCCCAATGGTTGTGGTTGCCTACACAGGATCCATAGAAGATGAGCCTAGTAGACACTTCAGTGTGGATGGTAGGAGCCCCCGAGTCCCCACTTCTAGTTGGAAAACCACACATAGTCGATGCTGCCAGTGGAGAGAGTCAGCTTTGTTCAAGGGTATGGCCTATGGTATGTGGTCCATGCTACATGGACAGTCCCACCTCCACACAAACATCCACATACATCCACATGCAATCAAGCAACCCTAACTATACTAAATAAGGTGTGTGTGTGTGTGTGTGTGTGTGTGTGTGTGTAGAAGATGAATGTTGGGACACAAGAGGAGTTAGAGGAGACTAAAGGATGTTTTGATCAAAATAAAATGCATTATATATGAAGGAAAAAAATAATAGTAGGGGATGAAAAGATGACTCAGTGGTTAAGAGCACTTCATGTTCTTCCAGAGCATCTGAGTTCAAATCCCACCCAGTACCTGCATCAAGTAACTCACAACTACCTGTAACTCCAGCTCCAGGGAATCCAATGCACACACACACACACACACACACACACACACACACACACACACATACACATATATATATATAGAGAGAGAGAGAGAGAGAGATTATGAAGAAGGAGGAGGAGGAGGAAGAAGAGGAGGAGAAGGAGAAGAAGAAGCATCAGAAAATGGAGTTTGCCACTAACTAATTATAGAGGTCTGGCGGTCTGGACGTGGGAGAGCTGGGCTGAAACAGAAAGTGAGATGCTGGGCACAAC